TTATTTCTTTTGCAGTTTACATTATGAATAGCTAGACCATTACTGAAATCTTGAATGCTATTACGAGTTCACCTTACTCTGTAAACGGAACGACGCAATGGTGCTGTGACATGATAGACTATTCTATTCCGTTTGTCACAGGCCTGGCTAACTAGATCAAGAAGTCTTGATAAGGCATAGAGAGTGTATCCTACAAGCGCCCAGAAAATACGAGGTTGGTAAGCACACAAATCAGGCTTATTTATACAATGATAGCAACGCCCTTGGTGAGAGCCACAAACTGGAGTACTAAAATGATGCATCAACCAATGACAGTCAAGGATTTTCCGAGTGGGAATTATGAGCTAAACGTGAACTGGAGCGAAAACATGCAAATTCAAAATTTCAGAATAAAATTACAAAATTAAGACCTTTTCCAAGTGAATTCTGGGGATCTAACGTCCCCAAAACTTCTCAGCTAAATACATTCATGAAATGGCAGCTAAGAACTGAACTCGCAACCTTCGTTCTCTTTCGTTAGTGTTTAAACTTCAAGCTACTGAACCGGTATCTAACGATGTTTATTTCCGATTCCAATCGATTCCTGATATCGAGTAGTGTTCATTCGCTAAATGATGTGCATAATTGTTATGCATTCAAAATCGTTGAGTTCTACAATTTGTGCGTGCAAACTGACTTAAACTCCTAATTTTGGGTCAAAACGGCCTTCCGGTACTTGTGAGTTTTTGACGGTTATCTAACTGAGATTAGTTTGCGATGTTAATATGTATATGAATATTTTCTAACTTCCACAAATACACAAATATTGATAAACTATTTTCAATTGAATTGTTTTCAAAAATATTCACTTGAATGATTGAAATTATGACTCAGAAAATTGTTGAGAGAGTTGTTGGCCATAGAATAGGTTCGTCTGTATTCTTGCCAACAAACCAGCTCTACATATACTGTGTTTTGTCTAAATTCATCAGACTAATATACCGTGTAGTTGATATAGTGTAAAATGTCAGTATGAACATCTGTCAGAGTGCAAAGTGAACTTAACTAGCAGATCAATATATATTTTACCTAAATTCGACTCGAAATGGTTTGGATTATCCCGTTATTGATATTCTGAATACAGATCAACCAGTCCCCGTTGACATAGATGTATACAGTTCCGACTAACTTGATTTAGCCATGTTGAGAGAAGTGGATAGAGAAGAGATAAAATATGGCTAAATCGACAAGGAGATTGCGTTTGATGGGAATGTTACAGTGTTCTTGTTCAGTAGTGAAAATTATCTATCCTATACAGATATATCCAGTTGACTAATTACGGAAAGGAGGAAATCCTCATCTTAGGTTCAAATGCTAATCACACTCCATCCATCATATATAATTTTCGTTCATTTGATATGGCAGTTAGCGAACGCTTACTTACATCATCCAACGGGATAATAGGAAAAAATTCTACAGAGTGTAATTAGGTTAGTAAAACCATTATTTTGTACTCTGTTCATTGAACGAGAACGAAGAAACGATATCTGATCAAACCATGATTTTTCACGAACCAACAATCATTCTTTCAGTCGGTTTGATCTACCTTCTTTTCAGTCTTTTGATGACTGACTGATTTCACGTTTGAAAATTTCGAACAACCGCTTTTCTTTGTTCAATGTTTCTTAATGAATTGTCAATGCTTACTAAACTTATCTAACTGAATATATGAAAGTTCAGCATTAGTCACTCAAACACACTATCTCAAATGTCTTTTCGGCTTTATGAGATTGAATATCATTACATAAATGCCAGCTAAATTCACTTAATGTGACAATCATTCCGTCATTTCAAAATCAATATGATCGAAATGTGTTCATTGATTTCAACCTTAATTCATCGCTTGTTCAATGTCATGAGAAACATCTACAGTACAACGAAACCATATTCAATGAATTGACAAAGATAACAAGTCATGAATAATACTGATTTCAGGATTCAGTGAATCAATATCACTACGACTTACTATTGAAAATCAATATCTGTCTCATTATCGATCGATCGACAAATCATGACATATGACTTCCAGGAAGTTTCACGCTACATTGAGAGTGTGGTATTTTTGTTTGTACTCTATAGATTCTAATACCTTCCCTTTTTTGTTTCTAACCCATATTATTTGCATGATCAAAAAGATTAACATTTACTATGTATTAATGGCTTACTGTTTATTTATCTCCGTTGTGATTATACTTTAACTCAAATTGTTTACAAGATTAATAATATTTACATAAGTGATTTCATGAATAGTTTAAGTGCATAAATAAATAACTGATTTATCATAGATAAGTTTCTAGTTCTAATCATTCATTAAATGAGTGTTGAAGATTTCTGTGCTTATGAATGATCGACAGCTGACACACTGGAAGATTGTAGACGATTATGGAGTTGTGGAGATGATATTGATTTGCATAGAAATCATGACACGACTAATGTTAGGCCACTAGTAGAAACCTGGAAGCACTGGATGGATGTTTCATCAGTGGTATTGCATTTCTCGTCAGTGTGCACCCCCGTGATCAAGAATCCAGCTCATGACCTTTTAATCTCTTGTGAACAAGCAAAGATTTACAAATGATTGGTCATTTTTGACTAAATAATAAGTAATTATATTACATAGTAGTAGATCAATGCGAAACATGTCAACTGAAATGATAATTGTCTACAGTTTTGTAAAGAAGATAAATATCTTTATGAAGAAAATTCTATATAGAGTGATGTGAACGCTTTTCATTGCATGTTCATTTGTTAAGAAGAAAATTGGCTCTCAAAAAATTGATTCGATTTGTGTTGAATTTGTCAATGTGCCTGAATTTATAAAAAAACACGTACTAAAGTATCACAAACAAAACATTAGCGATGTAATGATGTTTAAGTTTGAGTCTTTTAATTGATTTTCAAAAGTGTTACATGATAAACAAATAGAGATTATCCCCACAATCAAATGTTATCGATTCATTTACTTTCAAATATTCATGAAATCACTTATTATTTAGTCAAATATAGCCAATTATTTGTAAATCTTTACTCGTTCACAAGAGATCGAAAGGTTTTGGAGTTTGGTTCCTGCTCACTGGAGTGTACACTGATGATGAATCCAATATCACTGACGAAGCACACGTCCACTGCTCCAGGTTTTGACTGGTTGTCTAACATTGATCGTTTCATGATTTCTATGGAAATCAGTATAATCTTCACAACTCCATAATCTTCTACAATCTTCCAGTGTGTCATTTGTCCATTATTCATTAGTTGCTTAAAACTTCAAGACTTATTCATTTAGGGAATAAAGAAAATCAGAAATTTATCTATGATACATCAGTTATTTTAACTTCCCAATCAAACCTTATTGATTCACTTACTTTCAACTATTCACGAAATCACATATAAATATTAATAATAATGTTGTAAACAATTTGAGTTAAAGCATAATCACAACGGAGATAAAGAACGAGTAAGCAATTAATACAATGTAAATATTAATCTTTTTCATCATGCAACTAATATTGATTAGAAATCTAAAAAAGGCAGGTATTAGAATCAATAGAGTACGAACAAAAATACAACTCTCAATGTAGCGTGAAACTTCCTGGAAGTCAAATGTCATGATTTGTCGATCGATCGATAGACAGATATCGATTTTCAATAGTAAGTCGTAGTGATATTGATTCACTGAATCCTGAAATCAGTATTATTCATGACTTGTTATCTTAGTCAATTCACTGAATATGGATTCTTCGGCCTGAAGATATTTCGCATGATATTCAACAAGCATTGAATTAAGGTTGAAATCAATGAACACATTTTGATCATATTGAATTTAAAATGAGGAAATGACTGTCTTATGAAGTGAGTTCAGCTGTCATTTATATGATGATATTCAATCTCGTAAAGCCGAAAAGACATATGAGAGAGAGAGACTGTGTGTGTGCATGTGACTAGTGTTGAACTTCCAAATATTCAGTTAAATAAGTTTAATAAGCATTGAGAATTCATTAAGAAACATTGAACGAATAAAAGCAGTTTTGAGATATTTCAAACGTACAATTAGTCAGTCGTCAAAAATCTTAAGAGAAGATAGAATGACTCGATTAGATGATTGGCCTTTTTAAGGTGTAGCTACAACTTTTTCTTTCTTGTTGATTCAACAGAGCACAAAATAATGGTTTTACTAGCCTAATTACACTTCTTAGGATATTTCTCCTACATATTATCATGTTGGATGATGTAAGTAGGCGTTCGTTGACATCAATATCAAATGAAGAAAAGTGTGTATAATGGGATGAATTATGATTAGCATTTGAATCTGAGATGGGCATTTCTTCAAACTACATTTCGTTTAACAATAATTTCGGATTACTGGATGTTATAAATTTTTCGTCGATGTTATTACCACGAATTAATTTCATTTAGATTCTATTTTTGAGCATTTAAACCATTTGGAAAATCATTTCGACGCAAAATAGGAAAGGTTATCAGTTCACATGCACAGCTTGTCGAATTCACCGATTTCTAATGCATGACACTTCTTCATATCAGTTAATAAATGAGTACCATTCAATATGAGGAATCGATTTTATTTGAAAATCAACACTGTTCTATCCCAATTCAGTGATCCGGTGATCAAGCACTCGTGAACGAGAACAAAGATTTCGAGTTCATGTCATATGTGCATGTGTTGTAGGTGTGTCCTGCATGGCTAGTTAAATGAATCCACGTTTCAGTGCTTTCAAGTTTTCAGTTATGGACCAACTATTCAATCTGTCGGAGAAACTGTTCTACATAGTCAACTAGCTTAATTTTTAATGTTTCAAATTAGCTGATTGGTACATTTCCATTGGTTGCTTGAATCTTCTGATCGATATTTATGACTGTAATTGATCAGTCTTTTTTTTCCCTATATGCATATTGTGCGGTATATATAAAACTGTTATCATTGAGCTTTTACACATTAGACTTACCCAATAAACCACGGCAGATGCCATCCTTTTGATTTTCATTCATACTGTCTAGTAATTTTATACGATCAGTAGGTACTAATGTTTGAGATTGATAGATATAAGATTTATTCCACAGGATGTTAGTATTGATTGAAACTGTATTGTATGGGCATTTACATCCATAATGATTTCTGAAATAGAAATAATAATAATAATAATAATAATGACAATAATGATAATAATAACAGCCACCTTACACCAATTAGCTCTGAAAAAAATGTTTTGGTTATAAATCAACCCGTAATATCCAGTCCAAACAGTTTATAAATTCTTTTTCGAATAAATTCATTTTAAACAATGTACTTGTGTGCTTCCAGAACTTCTTGCTAATTTCTTTCTTGCTAAATTCTCGATTTGTATAAATAATGATTTTATACAGCATTCAATTTAGTGAGTTCGTTATCGTACTGTCGAAAACAGTCCAACTTGAATGAACATAAGGATAGTTAATAAGGGAAATTAACATTTTCGTAAAACCAATTTCCAGCTGAGGAAGTGTTATACTTGTTTCGAAGTATGCTTAAGACTATTACGAGTTCACCTAAGTCGATAAACGAGAACAAAACAATTAACCAGCTTCCAGGTAGGCTACTCTGATCCGATTGTCTCAATTGTATCAGCAAAAAGTTTTGATATAACGTTGAAAGTGTATTCTACAAACATACAGCCAACACATAATGAATCCAAGCACACAAATCACGTTTATTTATACTCCATAGAGACGTCCTTAGGAGAGTCACAAAATAGCACACTCAAATAACACAGTAAAAAATCACACCAAGGACATTAATTTGGAAAGCAGGGCCACCTAACAGTTTCTTGTTGGACAAACAATTACAGTTGTAGATAACGGATGCTGCCAGCATCTGCAATGTAATGTAGGCCAAGGCATTCATCATGAAAAATCTTTGACTGGATTTTGTCAGTTGTTTCAAACAAATAATTTAACTAAATAGTTCTAATGTAGGCATATAAAAACACTGAAGAAAATATATTATTAACAATTTTAGTCAAATATATCGTTTCAAACTCGATTAAGCATCGATAAGATTAAATGAGATCGGTGTAATACTTGATGAGTTGACTATATGAAAATACTGTCGACAGTGAAGTTTAATCCAACGCTAGTAAACTGATTTATTTTTCACGCTATCTGTATATTTTATTGTTCACTATTGTAATTAGTAGTGTGGTGCGCGCTACTTATAAGTAGTATATGACTCGAGTAAAAACGTAATGTCTAGCAGCAGAAGATGGGGGAAGATCAAGAAAGGAAGAGCGGGAACACAATGGGATTTGTATGAAACGCATGAACAGTGAAATGTCAGACAATGGAATGATATTTGTAACAGGAACAGTCTAGTTCGATATGATGGATTGATATTTTGCAAATTAACGATTTACGATATGGTTTTCCTATTTTACCGACTAAATCTGTAATTGGCGATAAATACAATTCGGTTGCTCTCACCTCTGTTCTTCTTCACTACAGCAGTACTATACTGTATTGAAATATATCAAATTTAAGAGAAACATCTGCCTAGTGTTTTTTTTTGCCAGTGTATAAACATGTTGAATGAGTCTGTTAGCCGGTGTTTATACTTCTAGTGTTATATTAGTTCATAACAACGAATAACCAACTAGTCAGATGTTTATAGGCCAGATACTATGAGCAAAAACCTACTGTAGGAGTCAACAAACCACAGTCCAGCGGAAGAAGAGGCGTTGGAGGTGGATGGGATACATTCAACTGCGTCACTAGATAAAACCTCTCTTGGAATCCTGAAGGCCAAAGGAAAAGAGGGAGATCAATGAACACATTGTACCGAGAATTTGATACAGACAGGAAAAGAAATGAACAGCAATTCAGAAGAACTAGAAAGGAAGACTCAGGTTAGGGTAGGTTGGAGAATGCTGGTCAGAGGCCTATGCTCAATTAGGGGTAACAGGTGTAAGGAAGCAAGTAAGTATGTAAATAAGTATCAATTTTTATTTTAATCAAAACGAGTTACCTTTCTTTAAATTCACTATATTCCTGATCATCATGTTCATATCTGTAACATAATCCATGAAAATGTTTACATGTCTGACAGAAGTCATTTGTAACTGTTTTAATCTGAAATCCTATTAAAATGAAGCAAAACAAATAATGACTGTCGACAATAATTTACTTTTACATATCAGATCAATTCTTTGAAATTAAAAATTCAAAACAGTGGTTCCCTTTGATAAATTTAAACAGACAAGTGAGAAGACATATTTTGTGAAATAGTACCATTTCGTGCTTTCTCGTCAGTCACATACAAGCAACATGTTGTTTGTGTAAATACAATTTTGAAGATAAGGTCAAAATTTCTTATTTAGCATGACATTCACTCACTAGAACAATGGTAAACAAAGGTCAACATACAGCTGTTTTTGAACACATAAAGTTGGACTTTTCCGATCAATCAAGATAGCTTCGAGTAGTTTCAGTGTGTGTGGGTTTTGATGACATGTCACAACTCTAAAGGCTGATTTTGGGTCAATTTGAAGACCGCTCATCATTAGATGTTTTGCAATTGACGAGGCTGGGTTTCTTGATCGATCTTGAGATGACGGGTTAGGTGGATGAATCATGGATTTGATTAACCATATTGGAATATGTTCCCCTATCCTGTCCTCCAATCGGTGATCTGTCCTACCTAAGTAACTTTCTCCGCAGTTGCATATGAATTGGTAAATACAGTGGGATTTGGACTGAATCGGTCTTGGAGACTTGATTGGGGTAACTGAGATCGATTGAGTTGTTGTGATAAGCGTGTCTCAGTAATAAGCTTGAATTCGTCGTCCAATGTATCAACAGTACAGATTCTACTTGCTCGAGCGAATAAAGTTTTGACAACAGAACGTTTATATTGTATGGGGCAGAAACTAGTGAAGTGGAGGTACTGTCCCGACCAGGTGGGTTTGCGGTGTACTTTTCGTCTTGACGGCGATGGAGCAGGATATCGAGGAAGGCTAGTTCATTATTCTTTTCTTCCTCATAAGTGACTTTCAGATTCGGATGAATCGTATTAAACAAACCATTGACTTCATAAATATCTGTAGAATGTGGTAATATGACAAGAATATCGTCGACATATCGTTTGTAATTAAATGATAATTACCAAATAATGTTTTAAAAATATCCCCATCATCTTTAAAACAATGAAAGAGATATGAAGAATATTCTTTTCAGGTTCTACAATCATATATCTATCCAAATATTGAGGATGACAGATGCCTAGAAATCGTTTGGTCAACCTCTTAGTCAATATGACATGAAGTTTATATTTCCCAGTGTACAAATATTTCAGGTCAACTTGTTTATAACAGTTAGGCATAAACTTTGTTCAATATTTCAAGTGTAAACTTTAGCCGAATATGACAGTTATATTCTTTGCATGATTCTGTGCGAATTTCTCATCAAGTTTATGTCAAATGAATGTATCTGTTTTAACGTCTTCATGGTTTCGACAGTCAAAACACTTTCATTTGGATTTTCTCTTGGCATCATGGGAATTGTAGTGATTACTGTTTCCGCATATAAGTGTTGGGATCACGGATATTACAATGCAGCTATTGGATTCGATTTGTGATCCTTTTTATGCTGGCCTGACGATGTAACCGACTAAGCTATTCTACTGAGCAATACTTTCAGCTAGACATAAAAGAATTCTGTGTACAAATCTTGACGTCCAGATTAAAGTAAAACAGTAGGAACCAACTGTCATGATCAGCTATACAGTCTACAATTGAAAATACACCTGTCTATCTGTTAGGGGGACGTCAGGTCCCCAGAACTCATGTGATAAAAGTCCTAATTTTGGATTTAGTGCTTTAGCGCATAGGCTGATCAGTTGACCTCGAGATTACAATACCCATCGTGAAAATCATTGGCTGTTATTGGTTGATGCTTTTTTTTAGTACGCTATTTTTGTGGCTCTCCTAAGGACGTTTCTATCATATATAAATAAACTCAATTTGTGTGCTTGTTAACCTCGTGTTTTCTGGTTTTTTGTAGAATACACTTTCTACGCCATATCAAAACTTCTTCCTCTACGTAGTGGCGATTTGAAACGCTAGGATTAGAGTAGTTTTTCGTGTCACTGTATGATTTGTCTCGCTCTCGTTTACCAACTAAGGTGAACTCGCAATATCAAATGACGAGCATAACACACATAAGTAAGTAAGTAGGCAAGTAAGTAAGTACTTTCAGCTTTAAAACAATTAGTCCCTTCGATAAATTTTGATAGAACAGTGAGGAGACGTAATTGATCTGAAAAAGGTAATGTATTTGCGCGCTATACATTTCGAACAATTTGGTCAGACATATTTATTTGTCAAGGCATTTTATATGAAGATTCATAGAAGGTCAATTAACTAAAAGTTCAAATAGTAGACATAAGGTGATCATTGTAAATAAAGGAGAGAGAAAATTAACGTAATATGAAAAGAATAAGAAACGGTAGGAAAATTGTCACATTACCCTAAGACCATAAAATGGCCTAAAGATTACCAGGGTAAATTCAAGGCTACGCCGATTAACTGTTTCTGTACACATAAGGTGGGTTTTTAATTAAAATTTGAAAAACAGATTTGCAATGAAGACTAGATTTATATTTCTCTCCAAAGTCCAAAAAACATGACATTATGTTTAACGTGGTTAATTTTTGTGAATAAAAAGTCTACAGAACACGCAGAACTTTCTCAAGGTACATAATCAAACCCAGTTTATTAGGTTGTATAATCTCTGCTTATTGGAATTGTTTCACTCCAAACGTTATCATCATTTAAAACTTCTAAAGTAAAAGTATATGTTTTTAAAATTTATTTTATCGGTCATGATAATATTGTTTCTGGATAGTTGCATATTTTTTAAAATTATTTGTACTGTACTACTAATACTACTGATACTATTTCCCATGCAACTCGTGATAAATACACGAATTTTGCAGCGCATATGCATGGTTAAAACCTTATTTATAAAGCAAGAAAAATGTACACCATTTTTCCTTGTTATATTTGTTACACTCATCTATATGTATGCTAAAAACTATTACGGGTTCACCTTAGTCGATAAACGAGAATGAGACAATGAACCAGTGTCCAGGTAGGCTACTCTGATCGGTTGACCTCAAAATACTAACGAGAAGTCTTGATATAGCGTGGAAAGTGTATTCTACAAACATACAGCCAGCACATAATGAATCCAAGCACACAAATCACATTTATTCATATATCATTGAGACGTCCTTAGGAGAGTCACAAAATAGCACACTCAGATAACACAGTAACCAATCACAGCCACTCCTTTTCCTGTTGGGAAATGGAATCTCAATGTCAATTGATCAGCCTCTGAATAAAATCCAAAATAAAGACATTTATCAAGCGAGTTCTGGGGATCTAACATCCTCGATGCTTTGATTGATCAAGGCGTTTAAAGAAGTTATTTCATTAGGAACCTTCAAGGTTAAAGGAAAAGATGATGACTAACGAAAATATTATGCCAAGAAGTAGTGAAATATATGAGAAGAATGACCAAAATTCGGACAGAACTGGAAAGGAAAGCTCAGGACAGAGTTCATTTGAGAATACTGGTCGGCAGCCTATGCTCCATTTGGGGTGATAAGGGTTAATAAGCAAGTTAGTAAATAAGTAAGTAAGTAAGTTAAAGAAGTTTTTCAGCCTATTCCTGAAGCATACTGTATATTTTGTTGTACAAAGATATCATTATAGTTGAGTTGAATAACGCATTTTCTCACAGCTAGAACAGGACATTTTTTTCAAACGCGACGGTTATCATTGCTTCTTCCAAGTCTAGTCTATATTCTTGTAGAATTTTATTAAAATCAATAATTACTTTCGGAAAATAGTACGCATTATTCAAAAAATTAACTTACTACATGCATGTTCTTCCGGTACGTAGATAGTTCCAGACGGACAGATACATGCACCTGCACCAGGATGACAAATACTATGCTTTACATAGATACAATCACTGTCCAATTGACATTTTTCATTGGTCAGTACTAAATTGAGTAAATAACACAGTAAAAAGAGATAATAATAATAATAACAGAATTCATCGGTGAAATATTGGAATCCATTGAATCAGGAAATATACATTTGTCAAAAGCATCTTTATTCTTGTATAAAGCTATGGCGTTCTATAAAAGTGAATTCACCTAACTTTGTATATATATTTTGTTGTTCAGAAGAACAATGAAATCTCCGTAACCGAAACAGCATCCAGCTCAGAGAACGAAAGTCCACCACAACTGGTCTTGAAATCGTACACTTCGCTTTTATTGAAATATACTAAGATAGTTTCTAAATTTTTCTCTCTCAGAAATGTACTTTGTCCAAGATAACGATAATGAGTACAGTTAACTGACAAGAGACTAAATTTCTTAGTGCTTAAGCTTGTATTAAGTGATATATTGTGATAAAAGTTTTCAAGTTTTATGCATTGAACATCTTTAATTAAACTCAAGGATTTATAGTCATCAGGGGAATCATTCATTGTTTAGTTGTTATATGATAGATCTGTAATTAAGTTACGTCAGGAATTGATCAACGTTGGACCTTTATAAGAAACCCGGAAGCACCGTACTGCCGTTTCGTCCTGGTACGGGACTCATCAACAGTGAACATCCAAGACTCCTGCAAATTACAGGTTTTGGATTTAGGACCTTCGAACTTGCCCACGAACGCCTAACCTCCGAACCACTGAACTGACATCTAAGGTGTTAATGTCTAACTTCGATCAATTCACGATCTTGTACAATCGCATCCACTGTCCTCGGTGAGTGCTGCTTTACACCCGAACAGGATTGATATGCACTGGTTACCACTTCTCGCTAGAACTTAGAGAAAATTTCACAGGGGGCTAGTCACTAGTGATCACATAATAAATTTTAATTCAGATGAAAATACTGATTAATGTACCCACTGAAATATTATATACATTCTTGTTTATATTTTGTTATAAATGCTGTAAACTATACGTGTATATAATTTAGTATCAATGTAGTCACAAGCAAGAATTATTGATACACTTATTTCCACAATTGCTATGTGTGATTGACTTAGAGAGAAAATCTCTGAAGTTCTAGTGAGAAGCGGTAACCAGAAGACTTCAACCATTTTGTGCATGAGAACGTTACCCACCAAAGATAATGGAAGATGTTTAGGGAAAACTGCGGAATAATTGAAGGCAGACTCGTACACCTTTGGATCTCAGATCACTAGTCTATTGGTTAAGCGTTCACACACAAGACCAAAAGTTTCGGCTTTGATTCACGCGAGAAAGGGTTCTAGTCACGCATTGCTAAGGAGTCCCTAACGTAAACCAAAAAACCATCAGGGTTTTACTGATTGTTTAACTTTGATCGGTCTACGGTTCCAATGAAACTGACTAATATCCACAAGCCTTTAGTGATAATAACTAAAAAATCTAATTTTTAAAATTCTAACTCTTAACTTCTTTCACATTAATAAACAACTAATTTATTACTGATTCTCAATTTAGTTTAAACATCATGTTATCGTTTCAATCGTCAATCAATAATCGCTAGACCACCATTAGAAACCCAGAATTATTCGCCGATCGCATGGTTGCAGTATAGGACTCATCAGCAGTCCTCCTCTGCTATCCCCACAGGCTTGAATAGAACCCAAGACCTTGGATGTAGTGCGCGAACGCTTAACCTCTAGACCACTCAGCCGGCATTCAACGGTGTTAATTTTTAACTTCAGTCAACCTACAGTATTGCAAAACCTCACCTATTTTCTTCGGTGAGTAACGGCCAACAACCAACGCAGTTGGACTCCATCGATTACAGCTTCTCACTAAAAGTCCGTGAATTCCCGCATCAATCTAAACACAAGTGAGCATATGAACGATTCATGATTTCAATGGAACTCAACAATCTTCCCAACTCTCTAATAAAAACTATGTTATCACTATTGGAAATAATGAATCATTGTAGTTTGTGAGTAACTGAACAGAAGTCAGTGGAAACACATTGAATTCTTTGTATTTTGTTAATATTATCAAGCTTGTTTTATTAAAATTATTTTGAAAGGATACTAATGTACATATATTGAACTTTCTTTGCCATAAAAGTAGGCTGAACAAGAAAGATTATAATACTTATTACATCCATCATTCTATATTATTGAATGCAATGAATTAGCTGAATATCTGCGTTCTTTTTTTACTAAAAATGTTTTAAAACTTTTTAACTTACATGTTTTACACATGAAACCATCATCTTCTTGAATGAGATAATGACCATATTTACAGAAACATTCATTTTTTTCAATTGAACAAAAACTATTTGGAACTTTTTCAGTACAGAATGAATCACCAATGGGTAGACAAGATTCTGTAATAAAAAACACCCAATATATACGTGATGAATAAGTAAACATTTCATTTACTTTTATCATAGTCACAGAATAAATTCTTTGTTAAAATCATGAAACAAACACTGTTAGACTACCATTAGAAACCCGGAAACACGAGATAACTGTTTTTCCCTCGTATGGGACTCATCAGATCTCCACATCCATGACCGTTGCTCATGGGAATTGAAATAAGTACCTTCAGCCTTGTGAACAAACGCTTAACCCTTAGATCAGTGAGCTGGTATCCAACGGTATTTATGCCTAACTTTGATTGATCCAAACATTTGCGAAACCTCTGCCATGGTGTTCAGTAGGTATTGCTTACTCGCGACAGAGATGGACTCTATTGTTTGCAGATTCTTACTAGAGCCATGAGAATTTCTTCACGAGGTTAGTTAAGTAATTGGCACATTTTTGTGACTTTTCATTACAGAGTTATGCAGATTATTAACTTTCATTGAAATCATGGATCAGTCATTGTTAGATCATAGTGATTCAGGGGTTAAGAGTTCCGGGAGTCATGGGAGTCGTGGATAGGAACTGCTGAAGAGTGTCATACAAGGATGAAGTAACTATCCACTGCTTCCACGTTTTTAATAGTAGCCCCACAATGACTGATTCATGATTTCAGTGAAAAACAACTATCTCCATTACATTGTAATAAATTTTTTGTTAATTATGAATAATGATTACTCAAATCATTTTTTAGGTTCTATATATTTCAATAAATTCTGCATAGAGTCAGTTTTTGGGTTACCCTCAGTCATAAACCAGGAAAAATGAGGAGGGTTGAGCATGGGTTTAGCAACCCCATCACGTAGAAAACAAACTTCTCTAAATAACGCTAACCATGACCAATGATTCAAAACTCTGCCTTGAAAGTTGGAAGCACTTCATTTAGAAGGGTATTGAAATCTCATGATGAAAGCCGAGTTTCTGCAAAAGTCTCGAGGCCGATGCCCCATCTAACAACTAGAGCCATCATCAATACAGGTACATATATTTTAATACATCTATCGCCTATTAACTATTTCGCTAGATTTTAAAATTTATTTCCTTTTCATAATCTTTCGACATATTTCTTGTGACTGGAATTCATGTTTTTTAAAAATTGTTCCTTCTATCATGTTTGGTTTAGTTTGAAAATGAAAAGATACATGAAGTTCTCATTATCATTTATACCAAACTTAATTTAGTTTTTTTCAGTAGATTTGACAAAATATTAGCTTGAGTAATTTGAAATTTTGCATCTTAGAATTATGAAGATCATTTTCTTACACATTGAAATCATGAATGAATAATTGTTAGACCAACATTGAAAATCTGAAAGCATGTGATGACCGTTTCGTTCTAGTATGGAGGTCATCGGCAGTGCGCATCCGCGAGTTCAGCTACTTGCAGGATTCGATTCTAGGACCTTCGGCCTTGCGCACAAACACTTAAAATCGGGACCCCTGAGTTGACGTCAAACGGAATAAATGCCCAACTCTCATTAATTTAAGGTTTTGTGCCATGTTACCCATTGCCTTCAACAGTTACTGCCTATAGTCGAACGGGGTTGAACTCCACTGGTCACGTCCTCTCACTAGAATTTCAAGGATTTCCTCATGAAGCTACTCACAGTTAACCACAATTTTTCGGAGTCGTGGACATGCATTGCTGATGAGTCGCATATTAGGATGAAACAACCATCCTGTGATTCCAGGTTTCTAATGGCGCCGGAGTCGTAGATGCGCACTAGTGATGAGTGCTATACTAGGGGGAAATGGCCGTACAGTGCTTCCGGGTTTCTAAAAGTGGTCTGGCAATAATTGATTCATGATTTCAGTGGAAAACAACAATCTCCATAACACTATAATGAATTCTTCATTATTTATGAATAATGATTACCCAAATAATTTTTTAGGTTCTATATATTTCAATAAATTCTGTCTAGAGCCCAATTTTAGGTTACCGACAGCGTCAAGTCAGGATAAAAGAAGAGGGCTGAGTATGAGGTTAGCGACTCCATCGCGTAGAAAACAAACTTGCTTAAATAACGCTAACTAAAACAAATAATTCAAACCATCTAAACTCTTCCTTGAACGTTAGAAGAGTAATGAAATCACACTATAAAAGTTGAGTTTCTTCGAAAGTCGCCACTCTATAACTAACCAAATATTTAACTCTCATTCAAAACAAAAACCATATTTCATCAAGCTACTCGTAAATGTGTATAAATAACTCCGAAATGTAAATAGTTTCACTTCAGCAAAAACTTGTGGGCGATACTCAGTTGAATACTACTTAAAAGTTGCGAGTAGTGTACACTACGATAGTAATCACACATTATTATTTTCTACACATTTATAAGTCAATCAATATGAAAAAGTAAGGTGATTGGAATACAAAGTTTACTTTTAAAAGAAAATAATATGCAACCGATGAGAGTTTATCAAATCGACGGAACACTGAACACGAATTCACATGGAAACTCACTAAATAAAATCAACTATACTAATGTATGTTACTCGTTAAAAACCAGTCCTCGGTTTAGGATTATCGAGACTGTTAAATTTCATTGAGATCATGAACTGATTACTGTTAGAAACAACAAGTGGAAACCTGAAAGCCCTGGATGGCTGTTTTACCCAAGTTTGGGATTCAACAGCAGTGCTCATCCACTATCCCTGCACATGGTATTCGAACCGAAGAGCTTTCGGTCTCATGCATGAATGCTTAAACCCCAGAGCACTGAGCTGACATCCAACGGTATTCATTTCTAAATCCAACCGATCCGCAATAATGCGCAACGTCATTCATCTTATCACATTAGTAATATGTTGGTAGTCAATTATGTCAAGTTTCATTTTTTTTCGTATAAAGTCTAGGGACATAAATATAAGGAATAAATTATTACGCTTATAAATAAATTCACTCATCTATTTTGTTTAAATTTTTTTCCACCTATAAAAAAATATAAAAAATTACTCTTTGATCAATGAACTGATTTATTGTATTGTTTGAAATAATGAACATAATTTTTTTTCTGTGAAATTAACTACAAATTACACATTATTATTCAAGATGACTGGTTTTATTTCAATTAAACTTTCTTTTAAGATAGTTATCCCATTATAGAGTTATGGAGATTGTTGTTTTTGACTGAATACATGAATCAGTCATTGTTAGACCACCATTAGAAACCTGAAAGCCCTGGACAGCCGTGTGGACTCATCTGCAGTGAGCATTCATGACTTCCGCCAATGGCAAGAATCGAACCCAGAACCTTCGGTATTGAGAAAGAAACGACGAACAAGCAGTGGGAGTGAATAGAGCTTACATTTCGGAAATCATCCAAATGCATCACGAGGCAAACCCTAACTTGGAACCCTAACAGCAAAAAGACAAGAGGTAGACCAAGGAACATACTGTGCTAAGAACTGAAGGCAGACATGAAAAGAATGAACTAACATCAAAGTCACAACTTTTAATACAAACGCCCAGACAGTTCGATTGTTTGAATCTGAAACTCGGAGAACGACGATAGCCATCATTCAAAAAATACAGATATTTATTGACAGTTGTCTACACAAGATACTCCGGATTCTTTACTCAGACACCATCAAAGAATCTTTCTGTTTGAGAGAACAAAGTAAGTAAGTGCATAAGTAAGTAAGTAAGTAAGTAAGTAAGTAAGTAAGTAAGTAAGTAAGTAAGTAAGTAAGTAAGTAAGTAAGTAAGTAAGTAAGTAAGTAAGTAAGTAAGTAGGTAAGTAAGTAAGTGAATAAGTAAGTAAGTAAGTAAGGAAGTAGGGAAGTAAGGAAGTAAGTAAGTAAGTAATAGACAAATATTTTGAAAACGTAATCAATTTGAACTTGTAAATTAAATTACTGTATTTACGTTAACAACTCTAGTCTCTTTGCATCCGACACTGAATAGCAAAATAATTTTTATTTCAATATTCAACAATTATTATTCTTAAATTAATAGTGATTAGGTAAATAACTTCCAGTGAATAAATGTTGATATGATTTTAAACCACTTGAAGTAAGTGTTACATTTAATTACAAACTAATCAATGTTTCAGTTGTTGTTTAAATCAAATATTCCCACCATTTTGGATTAGAAAAAATAATAGTGTTCATTTAAAAAGGTGAAATGTATTTATCAAAAACCGAAAGACAAAACACACAAGTGTTTAATAAACAAAAACAGTAAAAAATTAAAATTGTACCTAGAGTTCCAAAGATTGGTATTTCGAATTTTCGCAGTATATATCACTCATTTTCAAAGCTAATTTTTAGAAGTACAACAGATAATTAACTATAAACACTGAAATCATGAATCAGTCATTGTTAAACCACCATAAGAAACCCAAAAGTACTGGACGGCCGTCAAGTCCTTGCATAGGACTTCTCAGGAAAGCGCATTGAAGGGACCCGCTCGCGGGAACTGTACCCAGGACATTTGGTCTCGTAAGGGACCGTTTAACCTCTAGACCACTGAGCCGAAATCCAACCGTGTTATTGTCCAACTTTGATTAATCTAAGGTTCCCATACGGGGACGAAGCGGCCGTCCGGTGCCTCCCTGTTTCTTTTGATGGTTTAACACTGAGTGATTCATGGTTTCGGTGATAAACAACAATCTCCATTACTTTATAATGAAAAATAAATAAACTTATTAGATTTAGGGTAAGTATAACCACTAGTAATACTTAGTACTCGGTTAATATCTCTAATAAATTAAAGTTATAAATCAAACCACTTGACTTCTGTCCAGTGATCCGAAAGTTAAACGCATCATGTGGTTCAGATGTAATAGGTTTGATTTTGGCTTGGTAGCAGGTTAACACGGTCGGGAACGAAATAGTTGTCGAAAGATTCCCGATTTCCAACGTTTGTTAGTGTTGTGGAGATTGTTGAGTTACTTTGAAATAATCAATCGATCAATGTTAGACTACTATTGGAAACCTGAAAGCATCGGGAGGTCGTTTGG